AAATCAGGAGTCTCTATCCAGATTTTCAAAACTTAAAGAAGATTTGTTAGGAGTAAACAAATGCCGGTGCTATTTGGGTGTAGCCGACTTTGAGACACATAATTCATTGTCACCCTTGACCAGGGGTGGGATTCAAATTTCTTAACAACCGGTTATCTGGGCGTGGCCCAATTTGTGGATGTGACTTGGTGGTCATGTGACTGAATGGGCGTGGCTTGCTGACTGGGCATGGCTTGGTGGTCACGTGACTGGCTGGGAGTGGCTTGTATGTAAATATTATAAATATTTATGTAAATATTTTTTTTTTAAAAGACCAACTTTTACCCCAAATCAGGTAAAGCCAGCAGGCAGATTGAATTGCTCACAGAATCACAGATTCACTCAGAAATCTATCTATCTGCAATCTGCTACCTGAGTCTGCACTGAAAAATAGAAGCTTCAGTCCTAAAGAAAGTTCAGCTCTGCTTTTAGATTAGCTAAAAAAGCAAGAAATCCAACGATTTCTTGCTTTCTAGCTAATCTAAATCTCCCGGCACAGCTGATAGTCAGAACAGCTGATGGTCGGGGAAAAAAAGGGAAAAATAGCAACTTACCAAACACAGACAAGTTGGATGGTGCGCATGCCAGTAAGGAGTGAGTGGGCGGGGAGGGGAGGGGCCAGTCAGTGGTGTGATTTGCCGGTTCTCCAAACTGCACAGAATCGTAACAACCGGTTCTATAGAACTGGTCCGACCAGGTAGAATCCCACCCCTGCCCTTGACGCTGGTTTCCCCTCGCCCCCTGGATGTATATTCTCCAATGGGACACATCCATAGCCAAGAGTCATAAATCATACTCTCCAGTTAGGATTTTGCACAGCAGATACTTTGGTTGCCTGGAAACCATCTATAAAAACATTTATGGAATTCAGTTTCGGTTTTGCAAGCTGCTGCGCTGCTTCCCCGCTCCCTTTCTCCTGGCAACTCTAAAAGACCAGAGAAATATTTTATTAGTTGGCATCAAGAACTACCTGTGCACGCCAATGTTGAGCACATGGGTTGCAAGTATGAGACGTCAGTCATAAGTCGCTTTTTTCAATGCCGTTGCAACTTCAAACCATCACTAAAAGAATGCTTCTATGTCGAGAGCTATCCACACCTACCGCGTGTTTATTTTATTTATTTGTTTGTTCTTCCGGTGTTGGTTCAATTTATTTACCGCCCACATACTTCCTCGCAAAATCTTCCCCAAGATTGGATTAAACCAATGAGGAATAAAAAGTTCCCTTAAAGTCACGCCGGAAAAGAGCAGGAACACACACATTTCAAACAGAAAGATGGTTCACAATGCAACAACTAATTAACATGAGGAGATTCAAGAGGCCTGCTTAATTTGGATATCCTTCTCCGCTCACCCGTGCAAATTGTGTGTGTTTTTTCTTCCTAATATACTGCACAATTCATATTCTGTGCTTCCTCCTGAAGGAAGCCACAGAATTGTTAAGCAGCACAACCAGCTTGAATTTGTGGTTCCAGAGGAAATAACACAACAGCATTCTTCTGACTTTATACCTTTGTGACTAGATTCTACCCCCAAATCATCTTCATTTAACAACCCCATAATTCCTTGCAGGGTGGAGACTAGGCAACTGAATGCAGCCAGCCGAGTGTTTTAATGGCCGGATGCCCTTCCTTTTGCCAATGCGGAGTTTTCTTCAGCTGCCATATTCTCATTGTGCCCAGAGAAAGAAATATCTGCTTCTACCTAGGATCGAACTCATAGCCTCCTGAGGCGAGAGCTTTACCTCTAGGCCACCGCACCATTCCTGATCCCCACCAAAAACAAATCAAGAAAAATCCCTCATGAAGGCTCAATATTTCACCTCAGATTAAGATATTTCACCTCAGATCTTCAGCAAAAGCCCTGAATTTATCTGAATTCATGACTTCGATCTGGTCAATTCTGAGGGATTCTTTTTGAAAATTTATTTTAATTTGGGGAATGAAGGATTCACTCAGAATAGCGGTGAACTCTACTACAGGTATTCCTCGTCTTACGACCACAACTGAGCCCAAAATTTATGTTGCATTTGCTAAGTGAGTTTTGTCTCATTTTATGACCTTTCTTGCCACTGTTGTTAAATGGATCACTGCTGTTGTTAAAATTAGTTACCTGGCTGTTAAGTGAATCTGGCTTCCCCAGTGATTTGGCTTGTCAGAGGGTCGCAAAAGGGGATCGCGTGACCCCGGGAAACTGCAACCGTCATAAATAGGAGTCAGTTGCCAAGTGTCTGAATTTTGATCATGGGACCACCGGGGATGCTGGAACGGTCATAAGTGTGAAAAACGGGCATATGTCACTTTTTTCAGTGCCGTAGAAATTTTAAACGGCCACTAAACGAACTGTTCTAAGTTGAGGATGACCTGGTATTGCCAACTTCTGAAATATTTTTTAATGTTGGTTTGATGTTAGCTGGTGTTCTGACCTAGGCTTCCTTAGAAAGCATAAACCACAATCTTAGTCAGGGCAAAACTTCTTTTATTTCCACGGCTGTGAATGATGTTCATTCACAGTCTGCAAGGCTTCACAAACAGCTTTTCAGGGATTGTGGGGACTGGCAGCAGCGATGAGGAGTGCGTGTGCCAAGTGCGCATGAGCACAGGGCTGCTCGCAGGAAAAAGCAGCTACAACAGCACGGGTGACTCAGGAGTAAGGCTGCAAGGTAATGCCCCCTTCTTCAAGAAGATAAAAGCCAGCTGTGAAACAAGCATTCTTTGCAGAAGGCAAATACGTTTTGAAACTCCTGCCTCGTGGACATTCCAGTATCCTGAGTTTGTATCTGAAGATTCTTGTATCGCAAATTATTTCTTGTCTCTTATCTTTTGGCAAGTCTCGCACAGTTTGGCAAGGCTTATCCCAGCTAATTATTTTGCAGAAGCATTCAAAGGTTTCTCCTCCCTTTGGATTGCGTTTGATTTGTTGGAAAGAGGCGTGGGTCAGAACGCTGTCCAGCTCCCCGGGCCACAATAGCTAGATGATCCGAAAATTAGAATTTGCTCAAAACAATCAATCATGTAAGCTGTGATTCTTTCCTCACCAACTTGCCTTGTTTTTATGGATACTGAAGAGGGGAAGTTTTGAACACGTGCCAATGGATGCCATCTGAATTTCTAGACAGCCCCCCACAAGACCCCTGCTCTGAAAACTACTCAGAGGTATCTTTCTCGGTTTCTATGTCAAATTTCTAAATTTGGTCTCAAACCCTCATGCCAAAAATGTTCTTTCTTAGGTGTATATGTAATGCAGACAGAGAGAAATTCAAAATTACCAGGGTCTTTCAAGGTCAGCTAGCCCAGCCTCCTATTCTCAGTGGGAAAGCATAGGCAACCTCGATCAACTCCTTCAGTTATAATCCCCACAGTTTAAGATTTTTCAAGAGACCAAAAATCAGCCCACCCAGTGAAGTCCTCTCATTTTCTTCCTCCTTCATCTTTCCTGGTTCTTCTCCTCTACTACTGTTTCTTTTCCTTTTCTATTTCTCTTTCTTCCTATCTTCCCTCCCTTCCTTCCTATCCTCCCTTCCTCCCGCCCTTCTTTCTCATTCCCATATCCTTCCTTCCTTCCTTCTTTCCTTCTCCTTCCTATCTCCTTCTTTTCTTCCTTACATCCTTCCACCTCCCATCTCCTTCCTTCTTCTTTCTTATTCCCATTTTCTTCCTCCCTCCCACTCCTCCCTCCTTCCCTGTCCTCTTCTTTCCCATCTCCTCCCTTCTTCCCTCCTTCCTCCCTTCCTTCTTTCTCATTCCCACCCCTACCCTCCTTCCTCCTTTCGTTCCCCACTCCCTCTCTCTCTCCTTCCTTCTCTCTCATTCCCATCTCCTTCCCTCCTTCCTCCCTTCCTTCTTTCTCATTCCCATCCCCTACCCTCTTTCCTCCTTTCGTTCCTCACTCCCTCTCTCCTTCTTTCCCATCTCCTCCCTTCTTCCCTCCTTCCTCCCTTCCTTCTTTCTCATTCCCACCCCCTACCCTCCTTCCTCCTTTCGTTTCCCACTCCCTGTCTCCTTCTTTCTCATCTCCTTCCTTTCTTATCCTCTCCTCCCTTCTTTCCCTCCTTCCTTCTCTCTCATTCCCATCCCCTTCCTTCCTTCTCCTTCCCATCTCCTCCCTTCTTTCCTTCCTTCTTTCTTTCTCATTCCCATCTCCTCCTCCCTCCCTCCCTCCCTCTCTCCCTATTTTTACCTTTTTCCTCCCTTTCTCCCTCCCTCCCTCACCCCCTGTCTCCTTATTTCCCATCTCCTTTTCCCTCCTTCCTTCTTTCTCATTCCCATCTCCCTCCTTCCT